TCTGCTCGTAAAATTGGCCCGGTTGAGATCATTGCGAAGATTAACCCGAATGCTTACCGCCTCAGGCTCCCGTCACATTTGAAGACTTCTGACGTCTTCAACGTGAAACATCTCGTGCCTTTTTTGGGTGATAATTCGGACGGAAACGAGATCGATCCGGATTCGAGGGCGAATCCTTCCCAACCGAGGGAGCATGATGGAGACGAGATCGCAATGGCGTTTCTTCATAAATACGATCGGATGCCTTTATTAGTCTAATTATTTATTTCCTAGCCCTTTTATTATTATTTCTTATTTTCTTTATTTTAGTTGGTATTTGTTTAAGTATTATTTCCATGTTTAGCATGTTAGGAAACCTATGAGGATTGGGACTATTTATTCTACTCTTTTCTTTTCAGTACGCAGACATCATTGAATAAAAATACAGATTTTGAGATTTCATCTCTTATTTTCCCTTGTGTTCGAAGCTGCGCTACATCAATAAGCCACCATATCCACCAATCGAGCAGGTTGTTGAATCTCTCGTCTGGGCTTTCTCAATGCAACGGGTAACTCTAATGATTCTTGAGTCTGTACTTCATCATCCGACGAATCCTTTGATATTGGTTCGTCGATCATAGCTGATCGACTTGTCATCGTATCTATCTCCACCTACTTCGGTGTCAACTCCACCTGTTGGGTTTGCGTCGTCTTTATCATAACTTGTTCATCAAATGTAACATCCCTGCTGAACACAGTTTTGTTTGTCTCAAGACACAAAAGACGATATCCCTTCATGCCAATTGTGATTCCCATGAACAAAGCCTTTTTCACTCTTGGATCTAACTTTAAATCTTTCATATGGTAGTACGTAGGACACCCAAAGACATGTAAAGATCCATAGTCAACAACAGGTTTCCCCGACCATACCTCCAACGGTGTTTTACCATCTTTTGCAGATGACGACAATCGATTTATGAGGTGTTGCGCGTATGTTACAGCCTCAGCCCAGTACTCCTTGCCCAAACCAGCATTGGACAACATACATCAAACTTTCTCCACCAATGTTCGATTCATGCGCTCCGCCATCCCATTTTGTTGTGGTGTCCGTCTAACGGTGAAGTGTCTAACAATGCCATTTTTTTGGCAAACTTCTTGAAAGGGATCACTTGTATATTCTCCACCATTGTCCGTTCGTAGGACCTTGATCATCCTTCCAGTCTGATTCTCAATTTGCGTTTTCCGTGTAATGAAGACACTAAGCACTTGATCCTTCGTCTTCATAGTGTACACCCAAACACGTCTGGAAAAGTCGTCGATGAAAGTGACAAAATAACGCTTTCCGCCTAATGATGGCTAATGGGGTCTTAGAAGATCCCCAAACATCCGAATGACCATAATCCCAGACACCTTCGGTATTATGGATAGTCGTTCCAAACTTCACTCTCTTCTGCTTTCCCAGAACACAATGCTCACAAAAGTCTAATTTGCACACTTTGACATCTTTCAACAATCCTTGTTTTCAACAAAAGTCTAATTTGCACACTTTCATAGTAATACAAGTTATTCCTCTTGATGCCTTTCACCACCACGAGCGAGTTGGATGTAGCCTTCATAACTCCATCTCGCAAAGTCACTACCAAGCCTTTGGATTTCAAGGCTCCTAATGAGATGAGGTTTTTCTTCAAACTCGGCACGTACCGAACATCTGTCAAAACTCTTGTGGAACCATCGCGATTCTTCAAACGGATTGAACCTATCCTAGTTGTCTTACAAGTATTATCATTACCCATAGAGACAACCCATCCATTGATCTCTTGAAAATCAAAGAACCACTCCCTTATTGGAGACATATGATAGGTGCATCCTGAATCCAAAATCCATTCGTCTGGATGAGATGACGAAGGTGAAACTACAAATGAAAATTCCGAGTCTTCACTTTCACCATCGGCAACATGTGCATGTTGAGGAGATTTGCTTTTCTTCTTCAACTTAGGACAATCTTTCTTTCAGTGTCCTTTCTCATGGCAGAAAGCACACTCGTCTTTTTCAAGCTTGACCTTGGAACGTGATATTCCTCGTCCATTCTTCTTTTGGCTCTTCGACCGACCTCTTGCAACCAATACTTCATCTTCTGCTGCTGCATTCTTCATCTCTTGTTTGTTCTTCTTCCTCAACTCATAGCTATACAGAGCAGAACTGACCACTGCAAGAGTTACATCGTCCTTCCTATGGAGCCAAGTGCTCGAAGTCATCCGGAAGTGATGATAACAACATTAGAGCCAACTCTTCATCGCTGAATGTGACGTCCAAATTCAACAAATTTGCAACCAACTGATTGAATGCAGTGACGTGGTCATTCATCGATGTGCCATGCCGGTACTCGAATCGGAACAATCGCTTCTTCATGAGGAGCTTATTCTGGCCGCTCTTCTTCAGAAATTTATCCTCCAAAGCCTTCCACAAAGTGTGAGCAGAATTCTCATTCTTGAACGCGTACTTCTGCTCCCTCGACAAACATGAACGGATTGTTCCACATGCTAAGCGGTTGATAATCTTCCAGTCCTTCTCTTCAGTGTCTGTTGGCTTCTCTTCTTCAATGGCAATGTCGACGCCTTGCTGAAACAGACAATCCAGCACCTCGCCTTGCCACATGCCGAAATGATCGGTCCCATTGAAGATCTCCACCGAGAGTCTGACGTTTGGCATCACCGTCCTTGCCGGAATGAATGCAGAGGATGATGCGCCCTTGACCTCCTTGGACATCTCGGACTCGAATGCAGTGCCTGCCTCTTCGAATGAGCCTAGGACGAACCTTCGGCTCTGATACCACTTGTTGGGGTAGAACACCAAATGCAGCGGATAAAACTACCCATTCAACAAATATGACAAGCACTACTCCAAACGAAAATAAGTCAAATAAAGGACGAGAAAGAAAAATAACACAAAAACTGATAATAGGGTTCAACGAAAATAGCCTACGTCTCCGGACACCGCCAACCGCAATGCCAAATTTACTAAACTCACCAACAAAATACAACTAGGGTTAAATAACTTACAAATTAAGATTTTCTTAATTAAGGATTTTCTTCTAAGAGAAGAGATAATAGAATAAGGTGCAATTGTAATCCAAAGGCAAGAGACCTATTTATACTAATAAGATCCTATACATCTTTGGTATACATCGGATGTGAGACAAACAAATTAATCAATGTCTAACAAATTTACCCGAAATTGAAAGCCAAGGATAGAGTTGTAATTATACTTAGTCATGCATGCAACATGTAATTATATCAATCACTCTTCACTTTTGATCGTTGGATCACGCAGTCCATATGAATATGTATATAAAATTTGGGTAAAATTTGGTTGTGGCTTTATTATTTATTTCTAAAATAAGCGTAAAATTAATGATAAAAATTGACTGATATCTAAATGCATGCAACTTCAAGGTCTGACCAGTCTTATCCTCCTGCAATCCCTAGTGACCATAGCTTGTCAAATTTAAGCTAAATTTTAGGCTTATGTATCTGCAAAAGTCGTGTCAGGTTCTTTTCACTTTCCTCATTTTTTTTTTTTAATTTTATATTCTATTTAGGTGAAAATTCGTGTCCTTCCCTAATTGAATGTGAAAAATGATTGAATGTGAATAAACCCATATAATTGAATGTGAAAAATGATCACGATCTTTGAAGAAAACAATTAGTAGCGGAATAATAATGGCTGTGATATAATAATTTGTTTAATATATCCAGATTTTGTAATTAATTGTGGTTCATAATTGGTTTCTAATAATCATTTGTAATCTCATGATATTGATTAGGAGGATTTGGCCAGGTTAGGTTGTGTAACTGACCATAAATTTCAGTTCTCTGCCTATGCAAATCAACAAGAAAACCTAAAAGTTACTTTTCTTTAAAATGAAAAATTAAAAACCAGGCATTATTATTAGCTGGCCAAATATAAATGGAAGCCACAAGTTAAAAATTCATGGTTGCCATAATGAGTTAGCATAAATTTTTAGGAGGTTTGACCGTTATACATTTTTAGCAACGATCTTCCATATATTTTTAATAAATCAATATTTATTAATTTATACAAAAAGAGCTTTTTTTATATATAGGTACTGATATTATTTTCCAGTAGAGCTAACAAGTAATAACATGATTGCAGAAAACCATAGTAATACATTTTTTTTTAACAAGGATAAAGTCAAGGTAACTACTGAAATTATCTCAAAATTAATTATTTGACATATAACGTTTTGTAAAGGAAAATAAATCATCTCGACAAATTAATTCATGTCAAATAAATGAAAAAAAAAAAATCCTGAAAACAATCATAATGTCAGGTTCATGAAAACCATTTTCACGTGGGATTTTATTAAAAGGAAAACATGAAGTCAACATCTTGAAGGCATACTTAAAAATACATGGGAATTTGAATCATTGTCTTCTGCGTGGAAATCGGATCTGGCTGCTTATAAGGGGAAAGTCCATTATGGCCAAACCCAATTTTCATCCGTTGGATTACACACTCATACGCATCCATTTGATTCGATGGTTAGAAACTTAAATGGGCAGTACAATTCTACTATAAATTTTATGTTTTTATCGGTATAACAAATTCATCGACGAGGCACTTGGGCTTGGTTTGCATGTTTAACCTTTGAAAAAAAAATTCATGTAACAACTCATATTTTACAGATTTTATCAGCAAACAGTACATTCCTCACAATTCACATTGCAAAGCAAAATACCACGAAAAAATGAAAGAAAAAATAACACAACACGTCTTCTGCACGAGATTTTATTTTTATCAGCAACAAAAACATGCATTCACAATTCACATTGCAGAGCAAAATACTACAAATAAATGAAAGGGAAAAAACCATACATTATATCTGATTTAACTTACATATCAATAATCTAGCTCAAAATTGAAGAGTATGTACCACACCAAATACCTCTATAGAAAATCAAAGAAAAAATAAGTTATCTATAAAAAATCAAAATTTGTCTACATATATTTTGCAAACTATCACTTATAATTTTATTACTTTTATATCACATCAACTTTCATCTCAACTTTGTCAGTTTAGCTCTACCCCCAAAAACCAAAAGTAGAAATTTCTACTAAGGGAACAAGAGCAAAAATGAAAAGAACTACACACAAACAATTTAACATCAAATTATGAAGGGTCACAACAATAATTGATAAGAACTGCGAATATGCAATGCATTACGCTAAATACCATTTAGTCACAATTCAGAGCCAGTAATTGATAAGAACTGCGAATAAGCAATGCATTACACTAAATATCATTTCGTCACAATTCAGATACATCGCACGACAAAATGAGGCTTCCGAGCATAGCAAGTTCGTAAATTTAGCATCACTTGGAAACTTAAGAAACACGAAACCTAGAAGGTCGATCCATTCCACCCAAAGTTGGAACCCTGAAAAAGAAAATGAATGTTAAAAACTTCTGAGCGCAGGCAACCAAAACAAAAAACAAAAAAAACAAAAAGCCCCAAAACTGAAAATCAAACCAAACCATAAGCAAACAATTAAAGGAAACAGTCAAAGTAGAACTAGACAAAAGCGGCAATATAACACACAAATCTCTATTGATTCCGAATGGTGAAGGCTCGTTATTTACATGACTTAGTACTGGTGTAAAGCATGAAGACATTGTGCATGTTCTTGGCTCTGACAGGCCTAAACAAGGCAGAAGAATGCAGTGTGAAGATACTAGCTCATCTGCTCAGACCATTTTTCATTTTCAAAAGATACTCTAAGTTACTCAGGGGTTTTGCTCACCTTGGTGTCATAGAATTTGAGGTAGAACCGGTTTTTCGGGATAGACAACTTGGACTCGAGTATGCTGGCAATAGCACCACTCAGTTTCTTGTTCACATCCGAGGTCAGACCTCCAATGGAGACGAGCTCTCCATAGGCAGCTGGCTGCTCAGTTCCTCCAAATGCAATTGGCACGGATCCCTTCAATACAACCATTACATACTGCAAAAAACAAAACAAAGAGATAATAAATTTCTGAGTAACAGTTTTCACCTCAATAATCTAAAGTAGAAGGGATTTTCTTAAGATTAGAACAAAACAAAGTTAAGAATCAATGAGAACTTCGTGCAAAAAATCATTACAAGTATTGCATTTCTTTTTGTACCAATACATCATACCCAAAAACCCCACAAAAATCCATGGAGCAAATAACCGAACAATGAACTCATACCCAAAACCCACCAGAAATCCCTGGAGCATTAAACCAAATAAAATAAACACATACCCAAAACCAATATGTAATCCATTGAGCATATAACCGAACAATAAACTCATACCCAAATCCATAAGAAAATCATGGAGCATTAAACCAAAAAATAAACACAAACCCATATGTAATCCATGAAGCATATAACCGAACAATAAACTCATACCCCCAAAACCCATCAGAAATCCATGGCGCATTAAACCAAACAATAAACACATACCCAAAACCCATATGTAATCCATGGAGCATATAACTGAACAATAAACTAATACCCAAAAACCATCCGAAATCCATGGAGCAAATTACCAAACAATAAACTCATACCTAAAACCCATCTGAAATCCATGGAGCATATAACCGAAAATAAACTCAGACCACTATATTACACGCACATAAGGAAACTCAATCCCAATTTCATCCAAGCTGAACCACTTCAATTATTAGACCACGGGCACACTCGAGACCATTTTTAACTGAATCTCAACCAGGCAAGGCACCAAGCCAACAAAAAAGAGCATTGCCTAAACATTATGTACAAATCCCAAAAGTTTTCACGCCCCGTTTCCCTAATTGTAGCCATTCACTAAATAAACACTCAAATTGCTAGCAGACTTTTAGGAAAAAAAAAAATACTGATAATCAGCACCACTGATCGGGAATATCGAATATCACACATAAACAAAGAACTACCACACCGATTTAAGTTTAGTCATATAAAAATTCAAAATGAGAGAAGAGAGATTGGATGAAATGAATAAAAGGACAACAAATAGTAAGGAAAGCTACATACGGCTTCGGGTTTGCCGATGACCTTGGCGACGGTGGATGAGGCTTCGGAGAGGACGGCGGAGGTGTCAACGCCGTCGAGGCTGACGTTCGTCGAGATGTTCAGGCACGGCATCGTTCGGCGAAACCCTAGCGTTCTCTCAGTTCTCACACTCTTCCCCTTTCTCCAGACTGATATTTCTTTCCAACAATGAAACCCAGTCCGACTTTTTTCCAACAATAGTCAGTATCTCATTATCTACAATTCCCATTTTGTCCTCGAATGATTTGTCAAACTCCACCCTTGCCCTTTGAGCTAATTGAGCATAAAAGAATCACAATTTTGAATTTTCACACAATAAACCGCTCGCGAGTTCAGTTTACCTTCACTTGTTTGACGTACAATCAACCTTGAACTTGTTTATTTTAAAGATTGCTAAACTTGATAAATATATATTTTTATATAATTTCTTTAATTTGTTACATAGTTTGATACTGTTAGAATTTGGTTATCAAATACACGGGAATCCTACGAACTCATATGTATTTTTTAGGTCTTACAAATAATCTAAAAAAAATAGAAAATTACAATCGAACTGAAAAATAAATTACAATTGAAAATAAATTAAAACTTAAAAAAACAAAACGGAAAGATTTTAGCCGAGGCGAGTAAAACTCTTTCCGCAAGAAGAATACGCCCCGTGTGGCAGCTAACGGTTCAGGCGTAACTTCTCCAAAGATACAACGGCAAACGTCTCTAAATCTGTAGCACACCAGATTTACGAGCTCCGGCGAACTAGAACGGAGTCGAGAATTGAGCACTTTAAAAATAGAAATAAAAATATCACCCTCTTGTTATTTCGACAACAAATAAATATTTCTATATTTTTCTCTCTGATATTTTTATCACTACAAAATTATTTATGTATCTCTTTCTTTCTATCTCTTTCTCTTTATTCCCTTTTTTCTTCTGTGCATTTTTCTCTCGCCCGAACTCCCCTATTTATAGTGTGAGAAGTTGGCCAATTGGCCAGCAAATTGCAAATAAAAATATATATATTTTTTTTAATAAGAACAGATGGGGCGGCTGCAAGTGGCACCGCCCTTGCACTTTCCTCTCACTTAATTTTTTTTTTTTTAAATTAACAAGTGGGGCGGCGCACCTGCCGCCCCTTTACACTTTTCTCAACAATCTCCCATAAAAGTGTAAATTAAATATATATACTATTGTGCTCAATCCTCACAAAACTCTATTGCATCAGAAAAGGTAGCTTGGCTTGAACCTTTCATAGTAAACATCATCGGATGCAATGGCGGCCTAGTGGACATAATGCCTTGAACTATTCCTCCATAGTGTACACCAAGACAATGACATTCACACAATTGAGTCTTAACTCCATTCCGTTCTATCGTTGTGTCCGTTTTGGCCATGGACATCACTTTGGATTCATAAGTGTTTACATTTGAAGTGGTCCACACTTCACACTTATCTAGGTGATCTTCCTATTAAGAGTATCCTGTATTACTCCACCTTTACAAGGTTAGGGATTCATTAAAATTCCACATGACTTACCCTCACCACAATCAACAGGTCATCTTGCACTTGGATTGCTCAAGGGAATAGCTTTGGACATTCATATGTTCCAAGTGCTCAACTGAATTTTCATAATTTTGTTTTTCCTTTGAACCAAGTTCGTGGGATCTACACTTACCATGGTAGGGTTACCACTATGATCATTCTTTACATTGTGGATTTTTAAGCCCATTCCCTCTAGCAAAACTCTCAATTGATCTCTATTCAATCCTTTCATCAAAGGATCAGCCAAATTTTCCTTAGACTTCACATAGTCAATGGAAATAACACCATTTGTGATCAAATTGTCGTACGGTATTATGTCTACGACGAATATGTCTAGACTTACCGTTATACAAGTTGCTTTGCGCCCTACCTATAGCAGCTTGGCTATCACAGTGAATCATCACAGGCGGTAAAGTCTTATCCCTACATGGAATATCGGATAAAAAATTTCTAAGCCACTCGGCTTCTTCACCAGCTTTATCTAAAGCGATGAACTCCGATTCCATAGTTGAACGAGCTATACACGTTTGTTTTGTGGATTTCCACGAAACTGCACCTCCTCCAATACAGAAAACATATCCGCTAGTGGAGCGAGAATCTCTCGAATCTGATATCCAGCTTGCATCACAGTACCCTTCAAGTACGGCTGGATATCTCGAGTATTTTAGCCCGTATTCAAGAGTGTACCATAAGTACTTAAGTACCCTTCTCAAAGCATTCCAGTGCTCATAACTGGAATTACTTGTAAATCTGCTCAACTTACTCACCGGATAGGCCAAGTCTGGTCGTGTACAATTTGTCAAGTACATCAGACTCCCCATTATCCGTGAATATTCTAACTGAGCCACTGGTTGACCTTTATTAGCCACCAGATTTATACTAAGATCAAGGGGCGTCTTACACCTAGACTGTGCACTGTCATAGGCATTAAATTTCTTGAGCACTTTCTCTACATAATGAGATTGAGACAAGACAATTTCATCTTGGGTTCTGATAATCCTTATTCCAAGAATAACATCAGCCAAACCCATATCTTTCATGTCGAAATTTCTCTTCAACATTCTTTTCGTATCCATGTTCACTTCATGGCTACTCCCCATGATCAACATATCGTCTACATATAGACATACAATCACAAATGCATTTAATGTACTCTTGACGTAAACACATTTGTCACATTCGTTGATTTTGAACTCATTTAATAACATCACGTCATCAAATTTCAAATGCCATTGTTTCGGAGTTTGTTTCAGTCCGTACAAAGATTTGATCAATCTACACACCTTTCTCTCTTGTCCAGGTGCAACAAACCCTTCAGGTTGTTCCATGTATATTTCTTCTTCCAATTCACCATTCAAAAATGACGTCTTGACATCCATTTGGTGAATCTCAAGATTGTGCAAAGCAGCAATCGAGAGAAGCACTCTTATCGACGCTAAACGTGTAACTGGTGAATAGGTATCAAAGAAATCATACCCTTCCTTTTGTTTAAAGCCTTTGACCACCAATCGTGCTTTAAACTTATCAATCAATCCATCAGCTTTATATTTCTTCTTTAGGATCCACTTACATCCTAAAGGTTTACAACCATCAGGGAGATCAACCAACTCCCAAGTATGATTTTACATAATGGACTCGATTTCGCTATTTACAGCTTCTTCCCAGAGTAGTCCATCTGAGCTGGACAGAGCTTCCTTAAGGGAACTCGGTACATCGTCCAACATATACGTAATAATTGTGGTTTACATTTCGGGAACAATTGTGGTTTACACTTATTCCCGCAGCTTCAAAGTTACTGTAATTGTTGTTATCATCCCAATATCCATTGTAGTGAATGAAGACCACAAATGATGACATTTTGCTGCATATAACAACAGACAATATGAAAAGCATCATAAGATGCGAAAATAAAAGAAGTAAAAATTTAGAACTCTGCAAGTGGAATACTAGAATGAAGATAAACAACAAAAGAACGAACTCGAAGATATATATATATATATATATATATATATAAAAACAAACAAACAAATAAATAAACATGTCTTGTGTAAGTTTCATAGAAGATGTTTCGACAGTAAGTATGATTGTAAAACCTTGACATTTGCAGCAGATTGGTTTATAAGCTCCGACGGTGATTTGAAAATTTCTATCGTTCGAATCCGTTCGCAAGCTTCGTCTTCGTGATAATTGAATGCCTCGCATTTTTTCCAAACAGGTCTTTCATTTTCCCTTTTCCTATCTATGGTATCTTCTTCAGACCGTTTCATTTTCGGCAACATACCACCATTACAATAAATCAATGGCGTCAATCAGTTAAATAAGTGAAGACTTTATTTCACCGATTTTTATTCCATGTTTATTGAGTACTCGTTCTCTAGAGATATTGGGTTTCTGCGAGATCACTTCCGTAATTGAAAAGAAAGGTTAGTATTTGGAAATCAGGAGTATTTAGTGCGTATATATGTCTTTCTGCCATGGTTAATGAGCTACATGTTTGTGGGCCATTGGGCTCAACTTAATATGGGTTTGGGATCTACTTGAAAGTTTGGCTAGTAATCCAGCCGAGTTTTAGCTCAAAATGAAGCTTGACGGTTAAAAAGCTCACGATAGTAAATGATATGTAGTTAATGTTTTAATATGCACAAATTCATATCATATGTTCTATTAATTAATAATATATTATATCTTATATTATTTATTTTTATAGACTCTAATGAGCTGAAATGTGTCCATGCTTCTTATAAATCGACCTAAACATGTATTTCTCTACTGTTCAAATAGCCCTATAGTATGATAATTTTTATCCAAAGATGTCTACATAACCTAACGTAAATTGTACGCTGATGATGTATTAATTAAGCGACAGCTGACTTAATTGGATTAGGCTATGAATTAATAAAGCATATATATATATATATATATTAAATTCAATCTCCACTTGTAATTGACACGTTAACAATGGATCAGGCGGTCCACAGTATTATCTCCTACATCACGCATGTCTCGAAACAATTTAATATTTAGCCAGTCATCAGAAAATTATTCGTTTTCCCTTTATAAGTTAAAAAAAAAAAGTTACATTTTGGAGCTATTTTCGGGTGCATTAGGTGCAGCAAAGACCTTTAGGACAAACCTAGTCCTGGGAATAGACAATTTTTCCTCTAAAATGAAACCAATTTTGACAATCAGATTTCTTTTGACTTGAGTGGTAATTCCACCCATAGATATGATCTCAGCCAGTGCTGCTGCTTCTTTGTTCCCGCCAAATGTGATGGCTACAGATCCTTTCACAAGAATCATCACAACCTGCAAAAACAACATTAATTCTTTTTTATGTTTTTTGTCAAGTCTTCAATTTATGTGAGTGTTTAGGGAAAAAATTAAATAGAAATTCAAATACAAATCCTCCATACCCAAAACGATTTTACATGTTATATATATCTTCTTGGTAATCAGCCTTTGGGAGTTAAATTAAATGATTGTTTTGAGGTAAATTAGGGATTCCACTTATCATCACATCTAATTTGATTATTTAGTAAGTGGCGGTTAGAAATATTTTTTTGGATCCACCTAATTAAAGACAACATATGAATTTTTGGAAATATAATAAAAATAGTTATTTTTTACAAGTCAGACAATTATTTTTCAAATAATAGGTATTGTGTTAAGCTGCCTAATGATTAGACAATCATATTTTTCTACAAATATGTTACTTTTATAACAAAAATTATAAAAAATAAAAATAAAATATAACTGTGAAACGATTAAGCTAATCTAACTACAACAAATATTTTGGTAAGACAACATAACAATAATATTTATGTTTATCAATAGTGGGCCATATTGTGCATGTGATCATACTTATTGAACTTTTCTAATTGTGGCCAATCTCTAATTATGTCCGTACAAATTACCAACCCTTCGTTTAGCCAAATTAAAAGTGATATCAGCCCAAGTTTTATTCCAGACCATATAATAATGTTAGAACATTCATTAAAAGGAAAAAGAAAAATATAGTGGGTCATACGCGAGTTAAAGTAATGGATAATGAAATATGCCCACATCCCAATGTAAATAACTAAATATCTTCTATTCTCTCTTTATTATTTTATTTTTTTCATCTGAAATTGCACTCGTGAGTCCTGATGCTTTCTCAATTTTCACCTATGGCGTAAACAAACTTAGAAAATAAAAAAAATAAAAAAATAAAAATTTACAATAATTCAAACTTTACAATGATTTAGAGATAAGAGAAAGCGTACGTTTTCAGGTTTTCCGACGATCTGCGAAACAGCTTTAGTGAGATCGGAAAAGAGGGAATCGGTGTTGACTCCGGCGAGGTCAACGTTAGTGGAAATGTCGAGACAGGGCATTTTTGTAATTTATTATTTTTGGAAGTGGATATTAATTGTGTTCTTCGTCTTGGTGTAAGCTTACATTTGTATGATTTTGAAGTCTTTCATTTGTATAGTTTTGAAGCATTTATAGACGGAGGATGATTGCACGTCACTTTCACAAACAGTTTTATATTATTACTTTCATTATTATGTGCTATGTTCTGCTCTTTTGATAAACGAAAGGCCCAAACTTGTTATGGTTAGCTACACTTTATAAATGGAGGTTTATAAATATATTTTTTTTTTTTATTTACTTTTGACATAAATCAATTTGTTAAGATTTGAATTTGAGTCGTTAATGACATAAATTCGAGTCAAACTCGAGTATCAAGCGCTCGAGCTCAAGTTGGATTGTTTGAAACTATAGTCTTGTTTCCTTGCTAGTTCAATTAATGTTGCTATATACAAATCATAAAATGGCGAGTCATAAGGCGTATTCATTTTTTTATTTTTTAATTTTTTTTTGGCTGTAATTTGGTACATTTTATTTTATTGTTTAATTGTGTATAATACTCAATTTTATTGACATGACCAAGTCAGGACATTTTCATATATTTTTCAAACATGGGAGATCCGCTAATTTCTGCACTCAAAATTAATTTATTGCTTGTACCCTTAAAACGAGGCCAATGGCACAAGCTAGCTCTAGTAAAATATTACAATTAGATTGTATTTATTAACCTTAATATATGTATATATATATATTTTTATATTATACGTAATAAAAGGACTAATACTAAGTATTTTGTTGTTTTATAATATTCAACCATCTATATTATTCAATAATTATTTGTCATTTTTTATCATATTTTCTCAAGAGCTCGAGTTCCTAATACTTGATTTCCTAACACTCGACCTCGGCTTGTTGACCAAACGAGATGAAAAACGAATTTGAATTTAATTTATTTATTAATATTAATGAGTTAAACTCGGATGTTAATGATGTTAATGAGCCGAATTAAATTAAAGTTACCCAAAATTAAACTGTAGAAAGCACACAAGATTCTCCAATCATTAAATCAGCAGCAGATTGCTTT